CCCACAAGCTGCTCCGTGGGAGAAAGATGTGGCAATCTGCTTCTATAAAGATTATAGCCTTGGAAACCCTATGGGGCAGTTCTACCCTGTCCTATAGGGTTGCTGGGAGTCGGAATCAACTCAACGGCAATGGCTATGTTGAGTATGTACCCAATTCTAAGGGGTTCCTGAGTAATGGATGAGAAACTGACTGGCAGAGATCTGAATCCTAGCTCTGTCCATGACTAGCTTTGCAGCCTTGGGAAAGCAATGAGTTTCCCTAAGCTTCCAATGTCTCACCTAAAAAAAAAAAAAAAAAAAACAAGTTGCCAATGAATTGATTCCGACTCATGGCAATCCCATGTGTCAGAGTAGAACTGTGCTGGTTTTCTGGAAGCAGATTGCCAGGACTTTCTTCCAAGGTGTCTCTGGGTGGACTCAAACCTCCAACCTTTTGGTTAGCAGCTTAGGGTATTAACAGTTTACACCACCCAGGGACTCCATCTACAAAATAGGGAACACAATAACTCTTTCCTCTTAGGGTAGGTGTGAGGATTAAAAAGCATAACGCAGGTTGAATTCTTAGCACAGTGCCTGATACACACTAAGAATTTGTAGGTATTCTTTGACAGCAATGGGGAGTCCCTGAAGGGAATTAAGCAGGAGACTGGAATGGCCATATCGTGAATTTTATAAAGATCACTATGGCTACAATATGAAAAACAGATTGGCAGAGTTTTACTACTGCAACCCCTACTAAAGATCTTCTAACCTTTGGTGAAGGGAAAGACAACACATAATATAGGGAAAGTCAGAACAACTTGACCACAGCAAAAGCACAGAAGTTTCCTAGGCTCATCCAAACACTTTGAGCGACTGAGTAGTGGGGTTGGGGGCTGGGAACTATAGTCTCAGGGAACATCTAGGTCAACTGGCATAACATAGTTCATAAAGAAAATGTTCTACATCCCACTTTGGTGAGTAGCATCTGGGGTCTTAAAAGCCTGTGAGTGGCCATCTAAGATCCATCTATTGGTCTCATCCCAACCAGAGCAATGGAGAATGAAGAAAACCAAAAGCACAAGGAAAACATTAGCCCAAAGGACTAAATGACCACATGAACCACAGACTCCACTAGCCTAAGTGCAGAAGAACTAGATGGTACCCAGCTACCACCACCAACCACTCTGACAGGGATCACAACAGAGAGCCGGGATAGAACGAAAGAAAAAGGTAGGACAGAATTCAAATTCACGAAAAAAGACCAGACTTACTGGTCTGACAGAAACTGGAAGAACCCCCGAGACTATCACCCCTGGACACTCTGCTAATTCAGAACTGAAACCACTCCCAAAGCCCACCTTTCAGACAAAGAATAGACAGGCCTATAAAACAAACACACGTGAGGAATGTGCTTCTTAGTTCAATCAAATATATGAGACCAAATGGGCAGCTCCTACCCAAAAGCAAGACACGAAGGCAGGAAGGGACAGGAACTGGACGAATGGACACAGGGAACCCAGGGTGGAAAGGGGGAGCATGCTGTCACATTGTGGGGATTGCAACCAATGTCACAAAACAGTATGTGTATAAATTTTTTTTTTTTTTATTGTACTTCAGGTGAAGGCTTACAGAACAAATAGTTTCTCATGAAACAGTAGTACACATGTTGTTTTATGACATTGGTTAACAACCCCACAACATATTAACTCTCTAAATTCTCAACCTTTTTTTTTTTTTTTTTTTGGTGAAAATACACATAGCCAAAGATACACCGTTTCAAAAATTCCTACATACACAGTTCAGTGACATTGACTACGCTCTTCCAATTGTGCTGTTATTCTCACATAAGATGAAGGCTTACAGAACAAAATAGTTTCTCATTTAACAGTTACTACAAATGTTGCCCTATGACAATGGTTAACAATCTCACAACACATCAACAATATCCTTACTCAACCTTGGGTTCCCTATCACCAGCTTCCTTGTCCCCTTCTGCCTTCTGGCCCTTGTCACTGGACTCCTGTAGCTCGTTAGTCTCATTTGGTTTTACGGGGCTGTTGTGTATAAATTTTTGAATGAAAAATTAACTTGAGCTGTAAACTTCCACCTAAAGTACAATAAATTTTTTTAAAAAAGAATAACAAAAGAAAAAAAAATTTCTAACCTTTGAACTTTCATTTTAGTGTGCTGGTCTTGACACGAATTGCAAGTATTGATATCCTGTGATGGTATCATTTTAGAAAGAACAGTACTTTATGAACTGTATCTAATGCAACCTTTTATAAGATCTGAAAATAGAATAAACTTGGCAACATTTTCCTGACTTGTTCCTTTACTACTCAGGTAGTTCTCAGACCTGAGCTACTGTAGATCTTATGGGTAATTGTAGTGCTATCTTTTAATAGGTATTTCCTGTCTGCCCAACTAGATTATAAATGCCTTGGGGGAGGATGCTAGTAATTAGATATTGTCCTTTACTCTTTTAAGCACTAAATATACATTATTTTTGACAAGTACATTATGACAATATACATACAAAGTTTTGTGAAAGTTTCCTATGATCAGAGATTCATTTTAAGGGTCAGCAGAGAGAAGCCCTGATTCCTCCCCTGGCTGTGGAAAATCAATGTCTCTCTGTGCCTCCATTTCCTCATCTGTAAAATTAGGATAAAAATACAAACTCAAGTCAACTAACTCACAGAGGAGTTGCAGGGCTTAAACTAAATAATATACGAAAAAGCATTTTGCAAACTCAAAAGCAACATGTGAACATTTGTTGGTGGTGGTAGTTATGGTCTTATTTCAGGGTATAATATTACATTTAGACACTGGGCCTTTCTTCCCAAGTAGGCATTCTAGAATTCTTCGGCACACCTACCCCTGAATCAAGACTAGCATTTTATCCATCAAAGCTCATACATTGTTGAGAAGGGACAGTACTGACATGTCGTGGGGTTGTTAACCATTGTCATAAAACAATATGTGTACTGTTTAATGAGAAAGTATTTGTTTTGTAAATCTTCATCTAAAGTACACTTAAAAAAAAAAAAAGCTTATATATTTATGTTCTTGTCCATGTCTAGAGCCTAATGTTTTGTAGCTCACTGCAAATCACATTGTTGTATTATGGACTACAATAATAATTAAGTATTTCAAGACCAAAAATAACTCCTCATTTAAAGTACAGTCCCCTGTAGGAGCATTTTAATTATATTTGAAACACAGTAAATCTGAAACAAAGGGACTCAAATCCTGTCTAATATATGTGCATTCAACCTGGTAAGAGTGAAAGGAACTAATTATTTTCATCTCTTGGGGGTGGGGGGAAATAGCCTTTAACCCTAAAGGTGGCTTTAGTAATACGAACCAAATGGATTTTTACTTTCACTGTATGGAAAGAAACAATTAAATGCCAATAAAAACTGTTTACAGTTTAGGGCCTTTGGACCTTATCAACCACTAGGGAAGCAGATGCCTATGTATTTGTTTTAGGTTTTTTTATTAAATATTATGCCAACACAGCATAGCTTATAACATAAATTTGAGGCAGGCCCCAGACTTCATTTCCTTCTATCTCTCAAATAATCTTCCCATCTTAAAACAAGCCCAGTGGGAGGAACAACTAACAGTTCATATTACAGCATGAAAAAAAATTTTAAATGATATTTATATCTTGAGAGTTTCTCCAAAAGAAAAAAAATTAATAGCTGTTCAAGACAGAAAGTGAAATTAATTGAATTTGCTGCTAATATTCTGCATTTATTTGTCAAAAAAGAATACAATGTAAGAATTTAGGGGGTCACAGAAGCGTTGTGAAAGTAGAAGAAATGTATATTCATCTCTCTCTAAACAGAGATCAATAGTCAGAAGGGGCAATCAGAACAACTGCTTGTATTTACAGGGTAACCAAACTAATGATCAGCCTTTCTCAATATTCATTATACTTTAGTTAGAAGAAATGACTCAATGGGCAACGGGTTTGGTTTTTTGGATTTTAGTTAGAAACCATTAAGTTAGAAATGGTTAGAAAACCATTCCAAGTTAGAAGTTTAGAGACTATTTCCCTGTTGAAATAACATTACAAATAGTGAAAGGTTTTGCATGAAACAAATGGCAAGGCGGGCGAATGCCACCTTCATTGCTAACTTCGTGTGGAAGAATCAGCATCAGTCCCATTCCCAAAGTGTAGAAACAAATCCAGTCCTCAGCTTCCCACTTCTGCATTCTTGTCACCAGCCACTCATGTGGCACACTCTCTCTGACCCCAGCCACCCAGAGCTGGGTCAGAGCTCACAGTTAGATGGAGACGATCTTTCAGACCAGCTGCCCATGCAGCATTTCTCAGACCTTAGCCACCCAGAGCTGGGTCAGAGAACACACGTTAGAAGGACACCTTCTTTCAGACTGCCAAACAGGCAGACATCAGCTCCTGCTGGCTCTCATTGCCCTTGTGTTTTCTTTAATTTGATGTAATGACTCACAGAATTCACAGAGTATACCATACTTATGGCTACAGCTTTATCACAACCAAAAAGGATAGAAAGGAAGAGACACATAGGGTGAGGCCTGGGAGGGGTCACAGCACCAGGCTACCATGTCTCAAAAAGGGATGGATGTGCTACCCTGTCCCATGTATGGTCATCAACCAGGAAGTTCCTCTCAGCCTTAGGATTCAGGGCTCTTTTTGGCCTCATCATGTGGCCACGATGGATTACATCATGCCTTGTAAGGCTTAGTCAGCATCGGCCCCCAGGTGGTCTCTTTTGGTCTGGTCAGGCCCCATTTATAAGCCTCAGGTGTTGGTATGGCTGGAAAGACCCAAAAGCAAAGGCCAAATGGCTTTCTGAAAGGTGATTCCACACCTAGCAGCATCCAGACAAGCTCTCAGTTCACTTAACCCATTACGTTTCAAATTACTGAGCCAAGACTACCAGAAGAACCTAAGGGTTACAAAGTGTGTAATTTTTAAGTGAAAATACTTTCTACTGTTCAATGTGGGATGCTAGGAACAATCTCACCAAGGCAGCCTCACTTAGAGCTTCAAGATCCTACCCGTTTCTCTCCTGCCCCGAGCCACAGAAGTGTGTCTGGGATCACTAGCCGCTTGCTTCCTCCAGGGCAATGGCCCCAACCTGCGGGGGACATGGAGTTATTGCCAGGGGTCTTTGAAAGCCCTGAGTAAATAACATGTCACATATATAGGTTCTACTCATTTTCAAATGTAGATAAATGCTGCTATCATAAATTTATTTCTGTAATGAATGTTAATTTATAATTAGAATTCTTATTAGCTTTCTATCATGCATTTTCTCAGTGAGGGTACCCAAAAAGTGTAACTACAATCATGTGGGAGGCTGAGAAATCTATTAACTTTGAAATAGTGTCTTCAAACTCCTTTTAGTTAATAGGACCAGTAAAGGATTAGGTGAGGAAAGGAAGAGGGAAGGACAGAACCTGGTCAAGGCCAACACAGGCTACAGCAAGAACGGAGAGCCACAACAAGGAGTTAACACTTCGCATTTGAAACCATCTCTATTGTCAAATTACTTATTATTTTAATGGATATAAATTTTCTTTGTCAAGAAAGTAACGTGGAAAAATCTTAGACTTCTTATCTTTTCACAGCACAAAGCAAAGAATTTTTGAAAGACAGATACTGAAAGCAGAGTTACATACTTAAGGTTTTACAGAAAGATTTTCCTCAGTAAATTATTACTTGCTATATTTTAGAAACAATTTATACAAAATGCACATTAGCAAAAAACTAAATAAATAAAAGACAAATTACAAATTCAATATGAATATTTTGGGGTTATTTGTAAACCTAGTTATGTAAATCCCTGTTTTATACACTGTTGTAGAGGAAAAACATCATAAAATTGAGTAAAGCAAAAAGAAAGTTTTATTCAGCATATATTCAAAAGGGCAGAGTGGGAAACAGATAACCATGCTGCCAGAGCCATGTCTGCCCGAGTCCAAGGAAATATCACAGAAGAGACAAAAGTGGGAAAATGGACAAGCATGTTGCTAGAGCCATGTCCATCCGAGTCCAAAGAATATTACAGAACAGGCAAGAATGGGAAAATGGACAAGCATGCTGCCACAGCCATGTCTGCCCAAGTCCAAAGACTATTACAGAGTCATCAGTATATATTAACATTACAAATGGGCAAAACCATTGAAAGCTTCACCTTTTACAAATTGGCTAGAAACTGTGATCCTGTCTTTCTTTACAATCATTGGTACAGGTTTCAGTAATGACAGTCAGGAGGGTCTTCACTGGTCCAACAAATTTCTATTCACTAAATTCTAACAGAAAAAGATAAGAGTGGAAAGAAAGTCTTTTGTGTTGTGTTTGATCGGCTTTATGTGGAAGTTTCCCTAAAAGATATTTTCCAAGATTATCTTAGCTATTGTCTTTATACCTCAGGGCCCAGTTGATGTGTCCTTGTGAGTCCTTGTGAGCCCAGCTCCAGCTGGGTCACATTCTCTACGCTCAAGAAGAGGGAATAAATGATTCTAACATTATTTCCTAAATCAACACACACACTTCTGAATTTTTTCTTTTCTCCAAATCTTTTCAGAAAAGGACTGCCTCAGGTAAATACAGTCAAGTACAGGACTATGGGTCCAAGATCTATAAGGACTAGGAACACAAGATGATTAAACGGTGGGTAAAATAAGAATTGTGATGAGAAATTAAAAACAAAATCAGATGTTAGTAATTTAACACTAGGTTCTAGTGCTAGCACACATTTATCATATAAAAGACTACTATATTTATAACAGGTGCTTGATAAATGCCCATTCAATAAAAAGACGCTGAGAAAGTTGAGAGGATTAGAAGAAAGCACAATCTATCCATAAGATAGCCCACCCGTTGCCACCGAGTCCATTTTGACTCATAGCAACCCTACAGGACAGAGTATAACTGCCCCATAGGGTTTCCAAGGACTGGCTGGTAGATTCAAACTGCTGACCTTCTGGTTAGCAGCCGAGCTCTTAACCACCGTGCCACCAGGGCTCCATCCATAAGACAGGGCATGTTAAACAGAAATTTATAGTTGCTTTCCTCAGACACATCTTTTCTGTACTCAGAATTTAAACCAGAATATAGACCTCAAGGTTTAAAATACGTTCTTCTGTAGTCATGTTTCTACCACCCATGATTTTTACTAATCTGTTTTTAATTCTATCCTCTCAATGCACTGTAGTCTCCCTATATAAAAATACAGTGTTTTACTTTGCTTTCATGTTTTTATATTTACCTTATTTGTATAGACACAGAAAGTGCCTTAGAAATAAATCACTGTAAACATGCTTAGTAGCTTTAATGCATTATTGAAATATGATCCTCTCTCCTCCTACTCCCCTAGAATGTCTTGCACTGAGCTCATTAGTAATGTCCTACCTCCACCTAAGCAATCCAAAATTTTACTTACAACATGTGATAAACACAAGCCATCTGACTACCACTATATAATTAAAAACTTCCTGCGTATCTACCAATGACCAGCCACTTCAAGTGTCAAAAGCCAAACTTCCCAATGAGGTGGCTTCCTACCTTCTCCTTTTACTTAACGAGGCCATCAATGATGTATACACCCTTAGCTGGCTCCTGGTCCCCTGTACTTGGGCAAGGGATACTCTAGACACCAGGGACCTGCCAAATATACATCTGCTTTTATCAAATGTTATTGGCCAACGGTATGTCCACCTCCCTCCTTATATTCATTTATATTGAAAGGTTAGATTTCCACAAAATTCTGAACTTATAGAACTGTTGGGGGAAAACTTGGCCACGATATATCTAACCACGTCTCCGCTTACAAATAAGAAAACTGGGGCTCAGGAAGACGGAATTAGAACCTCAACTGTTCCCCCCCAACCCCGCCTGCCTACAACTATCAGGCAAGGTTTTTTTGTGCTCCAGTAGCTCTGCAAGGTGCTTGTTAAATGTTCTCGGATGAAAGGAAATGTTCGTGGTTGCAAATGTGTGTGGGAGAGGCAAAATGCACCGTGTGCCGTCCTTATGGGTAATTAATTCACCTATCTGTCCTTGTGGGAATGGGATAAATAAGGGGGAAGTTAGGTTTGGATTTTTTCACGACCTAAGTTTAGAGGGGACTGTGTGGGGAGTAACTTTAAGACTCAGAAGGACCAGAAACCCCCATTACGCTCTCGGAAGGCTCCAGGGAGGTATAGATCGAGTTGCAGTAAAGAAGCACGATGTGGGGGGAATATCTGATAGAAGGACAGCAGGCAGGTAGAGAGGTGTTTTATTCGTATTTATTCACTTGGAGAGGCAGAGGATTCGTCAATTTCCTCCTCTTGTCACACAAGTGGCCACGTCCTTATCATAAGCTGTCTGGCATAGAGAACTTCTCGCCTCCTCCTTTCTCCCCGGCATGTTTACCGTAAGGGCGCAGGTGGAGCTGGGCCGCGAAGGGCCTGGACAGTGGGGCCCACCCCCAACCCCGGCGCCCGGCGAGGGCTCCCCGGGAAGGGCCTTTGTTTTCCCGACGCCAATTACGTTTGCGGAAGTGCTGCCTCGCCCGGCGCGCCGGGGGCGCCGGCTTCAGCCTCCCCCAGCACCCCACAAAGATGACAAGCGGCAGAGAAGTCGAGGGGCGGGTGCGGCCGGCGAGCCGGGCTGGGAGTGGAGACGCCCACGCACCTACTCACCGGGCCCCTCTCCGAAACCCCCTCTCCTGACAGCAGGTGTGCACACCGGAGGGTGCACTCCCCGCACCCGGCTGGGTCTGTCCGCGGCGAGCCAAGCCTGGGTGGGGCTGCCGGGCCATCCCCACCCGCGCGCCCTCCCCGTGCTCTCGGCCCCCACTCACCTGCTGCTGGCGGCGGTGATGGTGCTCAGCTGCGCGGGGCACGGGGAGCCCCCTCCCCGGGGTGCAGGGTGGCGGCTTGGGGCTCCCAGGCGGCGGCTGTCGCGGCAGCGCACACCATCTCGGGCGGGTCACTAGCTCCTCGGGGGCTGCAGCGGGCGGGGCGCGGCGCGGCGGAGGGATGCGGGCGGGGTGGGGGTGGTGGTGACGGCGAACCGCGGGCCGAGCGCACCCGCCGGCTCGACCTTCTCCACCGCCTCGGCTCGGAGCCTCCGCCGCCGCTCACTACCGGCTGGACCCGTTTCAAGGTTGAGCGCCGGGGACCCGCCGCCAGGTGCAGCGCTCCGCCTCCTGCGGCGGAGGCGGCGGCGGCTGCCGCCTCCCGCCTCCTCCCGGCCTCCCGCCCGCCCTGACGGTCCCGGGGGACCCCTGGATCCAGCCCTGCTGGGGAAGCACGCTGAGAAGGGGAAAGCAGACAGGCGAGGTTCTACCCCCACCTCCGCCACCCTCCACGTCGCTCCTCCACCCCACATACAAATGATGCAGGCCTGGCCCGGGGCAGGGGCTGGGGACAGCAGAGCAGTGGCTGCCTGATCTGGGGATTATAATAATAATAGGCATCATTTATTGAGCGCTAGTTATGCGCTAGGCACAATGCTAACTCTGTTAATGCGTTATCTCTGTGTCTCTGGTTCCAACCCTGGCGACTATCCCCAGTTGAACCTAGAGAGAAGAAAGGGACAGAAGAGTGGAGGCAAACAACGAGGGAGTTTCACGACTCTTTAGGGAAGGGGTACACCCAGGCTAAAGCAGTTTTTTTAGAAAGGTGCTACTGAGTATCCGGCGCTTTGCTGTAGAGGTAACCTTGTGTGTCGCACTAAGAACGTAATTAAAGTAGTATTTCTGGTTAGACACGTAGAAAGGGTGGGGAGAATGGAGATGATTGTAAAAAATACCATTCATTCATTAAGTATTTTGTGTGCCTATGATGCGCTTTGAGGGATGCCAGATCTATTCGCAGGAAGCTTATGGTCTAACTCTGGCAACAACAACAATAACAATGGCAGCTAACATTTATGATCATTTATTATATAGGGAAAAAAAGCCATTTCCATCGAGTCAATTCCAACTCATAGCAACCCTACAGGACAGAGTAGAACTGCCCCATAGGGTTTCCAAGGAACATCTGGTGGATTCGAACTACCACGCTTTTGAAAGCACTGTTTAAATACTATTTAAGCCTTACCACAGTCCTGCGGGACACGTAATGTTAGGCTGAAAGTTCATGCAACCTATCCAAAGTTACTACATCGTAGAAGGGAGAGCAGGCTTCTTTTGTCTCCAAGGTTTAAGTTCTTAACTACTAAAGCATACTGATGTGGGTTCTGAAGGCCCAAAGCATTATAACTTGGGGTGCCTGTTTAGAAAGAATAAAACAATATTACAGCTAGGAAGTTGCTAGGGCCCCTCCCTTAGCCTAGGAACAGCCCTGAAACTTACAAGCTATATTCACACCAAAACCAAACCCACTTGGAGCTGATTCTGACTCATAGCAACTCTATAGGACAGAGTAGAACTGCTGCCATAGGGTTTCCAAGACTGTAATCTTTACAGAAGGCTGCCACATTTTTCTCCCATAAGCTACATTAGCCTCATGAAAAATCCACTTAAAATACTGACACGTCAAAGCGAAACATAAAGGCAGTGAGCGCTGGAGTTTCAAATGAAAAGGGTTAAGGTAGTTGCTGGACTTCATAAAATGACTAATGTCGGAGCTGGTGTGGACTGAAGACAGTTTCCTATTGCATTATTTGAAACTGAATGACTCATAAAGTACCCCGTTGGTAGCTGTCGTAAAAGAGTTACCGTTTTTCTTATCTGTTCATCATTAAAGAAGCAATTTTTTTAATAAAGAAAAAGAAAGTGAACAGACCCCAAGTCTAACATGGTTCAGATCCTAGGTTTTCTCCTGCAAGTGGAAGAAGAGGAAGGAGAGCCAG